ATATAATTTTTATATGCTGTATAGTTTTAATATTTAAAACAATTCAATAAATTAGGAGGAAGGAAATAGACCAAAATGCTTTATACTTTAATCATTTTCTGTGATTTGTACATGGGACTTTTATATCCAGGAATACCAATAAATATTACCTTTAAAACCCTGTGTTAGAGTAGAAGCTAACTGCCTCTGTGATTGTCCCATGAACCACTGAGTCCTATTCTGGAATGATGTGGGAAACGAACACTTGAATATTCTAGGTATAACCATAATATCAATTCAAGTTTACACTAAAGAGAGGGCAATTCTTTTTCTATTTTGCTGTTTGTTTTTAGAAAGTCCTTTTTTCTTCACTTTTTGTCAGGATAGATGAAAGTTTATCCTTGTTCTCTGGCATTATGAATACAGTGGAAGAGTAGAAATGACTTTATGGGACAGCAGTTTTACAGACTATTATTTTAATTAAGTAAATAGAAAGCAGAGATGTGTTGATTTGAGATCAGGGCAATATTTCTTCTCATTTTTTTCCCCCTTAATTGTCACCCCGTTAAATGTTTTATTGATTTTAGAGAAGAAGGGAGAGAAACATTGATATGAGAAACATTGAGATTAAAAAGAAAAAAAAAGAAAAAAAAAAAGAAACATTCAGATCGGTTGCCTCCCATAAGCACCCCTACCAGGGATCCAACTGCTTGCTACCTAGTCATGTGCTCTGAGAGGGAATCGAACCCACAACCTTTTGCTGTATGGGTGATACTACAACCAACTGAGACACCTGGCCAGGGCAGGGCAATATTTCTTAAAATGTTGTTCTGGGACTCCCTGTTTGAAATGTAAACTTCCCTGACCTACCTACCCAGAATCTGAAGATGGGTACTGGGAAGCTGTATTTTTAAGATAAACCTGGGTAATTTTTTCCCCCTGAGATTCTGTAAGAACTACCAGGTAAGGAAAAGAGGCTTGAGATTTAGACATTCTTGCATGGGATCTTTTCTGCTCCAATATTTGGTAGAACTAGACATTTTTTCAATTGCATGCATCGAAAATATACATTGCTTCCTGGATAAGTCAGAATTGGGGAATGAGATCTATCAATAGCTCTACTGCAATCTTATCTGAGAAGTTTTGGAATTCTCTGAGAGCAGACACAAGTGTAACATTGCTGGGAATGGTGATAGGTGACCATGTAGGTAATTTGTCTTGGCTAGAAAATAGCAGCCCATCAGTTCCAGTTCCTTTGAGGGTGTCCTTTCGGTGGAGTGCTTGCCTAGATCATTATTTACAACTCTTGATGAGACAGGTGTCCATGAAGAATTCTAATACCCTATGGGTCAAAGTTGCAAGTACTAGAGTCAGACACACCTGTCACATGCTACATGCCTGGAAAAATTAAATAACTCAAAATATTAGATTCTTCTTCTGTAAAATTGGGTTACTACCAGTGACAGTCTAATGATGAAAAATTGTGTGCAAATCATTTAACAAAGGGCCTGACATAAAGATCTCTCTCTCTCTCTCTCTCTCTCTCTCTCTCTCTCTCTCTCTCTCTCTCTCTCTCTGTGTGTGTGTGTGTGTGTGTGTGTGTGTGTGTGTGTGTTGGCAATGGATCCCAGTTCTTCATCTGAGCTAGGTTTTTTATATCTGTTGGTTTCATGGAACATCTAATCTTATTGAAATTCATCCTCTAGGAGTTTGTGTAGGACTTAATTGAATAATATGAAGTATCATATGCATACCTTCTCCCCTTCTCCAGTTCCAAAGAAAGTCAAGTCATTCCTACACACACACACACAGCCTTAACACTGACCAGCTCTATAATACTTCTGGGGTGCCACATTCCATAAATCTACTTTAGATTCTAATAAATGTGACTTCATGATGATCACTACCTTGAAGCACATTTACATAACACCTTTCTTGCCGCATTGCTGATTATCTCCCAAGTAAACGTACTCGTTACACTTTCCCCTAATTTAAATTTGCATTTGCCAAGATACAGTCTTCTGCAGTGGCTTCCTAATGTTGGGAAAATAACCATCCCCCAGACCCATGACTAAATCAGGTAGAGACAATTAGCAGGAGCAATCATTTATATTATCCAGTTGCATAACACACTTCGTGAATAAATGACATATCCCAGTTTAGGATACATCACCAGATTCAGGTCGGAGAGTATCCTCTGCCAGTCGATAAGAGTGCGGGTCACTGGAAGATCTCTTCGTAGAATTTTTCTCAGGGCTTCATTCGATAACTCTTGTAATTCTTCTAAGACAGAAGCTTGAAATTTGTTCTCTTGTTCTTCCACAAGCCTCGCAAAACTTAGAGCCAGCTGAGCTTGATTAACTATTTCCAAGCTTTCTTTCAGGTCCTTGGAGATTTCAATATGAAGGTTGACATTCTTGAAGTAGTGAGCTTGCACAAAAATTCTTCCTGTTACTTGGGTTAGAAATGGATGCACCTGGAAAATCCATTTAGATTTCCAAAGGCCATTCCAGAAATTTCCTGTTTCATAGCAGTGATCTTCAATGCAGGCTATCAAGAACTCCTTCTTTTTCACACTTTTTCTCAGCACATTGCAGTTTCCTGTTGGATAGTGGTCATTCACATACAGCTTCAAGGCACACAGAACAACATTTCTCAGGTATTCCGTCTCATTCCGAATGATTCCATGAGTTTTGATGTCTTTTAACTGGTTTTGAAGCAGGTCGAATTTGAAAGAAAGTTTGCTGTGACAGTCAAAAAAACGGAAGTCGCCCACTACGTTGTGGTGAGACAAGAGGACTGGATTTCCATCGATGCAGAGTGGGACATAATATTTTTGGCAGTGTTGATGGCCTGCACACTCACCTTGATAGTGCATAAGTTTTTCATCACGGATAAGCAGACAAAGGTCATCAAAGGCATTTACAAATTCCCCTGGAGGAGCCTGTATTAACAGTCTGCGGATTGCTTTTTCTTTCTCTTTCCTACTCAGAACAGAACGTGACATGTTTGGTTGCAGCAGAAGCAAAGCTTCTGAAATCAAGCGTGTTCAGAGGATGAGAAAACATTCCATGAGTCACCTTTCCCATCAAGGTGTTCGACTTTCGAGCTGAAGATTACTGTGTCTAAACATGAAAACAGGTAGCCTGGCAAGCTCTGAGTCTCCTGATGAAGTCATAAAGAACCCTTTCCTATGAAGTGTGGAACTTCTGATGATATCACAATGGGTGCTCAGACCAAAAAAATAAAAATGACAGTCACTTGACAGCATGGAGCCCAGCCAACCAGTTATCCGTACGTTGGAGATATTATGAACTTAGCCTTCCAAACAGCCTTCTTCAAAAGGGGTGTGTCTCCACATACATTATATGTTGTCAGGGATCTAGAGAAGCATCCCAGAGTTGCTAGAGAGTATTTTGCAGCACTTTGCGCCTTCTGGGACCATAGTGGCGTTGATTTTTACTCAGAATAGCTGTCTTAAACTTATTGGGAGCATGGTCTGCTGAAAGGGTGAGAGCTTTGAATAAGATAGCAAAAGTAAAATCAGATTTGGTGGCAGTTCATGGAATAATGCCAGACAGCAGGGGATGCAGCATTTATAAGCATTGTGGGTTTGGAGATGGTCAGAACATAAGCAATAAGCCAGGAAGTTTCCAGGGTGGTGAGGTGCAAGGAGTGCATCTTGTGAATTGTTTCTATAGGAATTAAGTGTGAGTCATCTCCAAAGAACAAAGACTATAAATCATGTTGCCTTCTCTTCTTCCTCTCTAGAAAGGAGTGACAACAGCTGACGAGTATCAAGAGATTCCTTTCTTGCAAAGTGGCAGAATTAATTATATCCGGAACCTTTGACAACACCTAATGTGGAGAGACTTCTAAGCAAGGAGAAAAGGAAGGCCAGGCCATGAAAATATGGAGAAATATCCATTCAAAAGTCATTTCTATTCCTATTTCCTCATCTTCTTCTTGTTTTATCCCCCTTGTTCTCTTCTCAGTCTTGTTTGAGGACTCCTGAACCTAAATCCCTCTCATTTACATTTAGACTTATTCCTTCCATATCTGTTATGAGATTTTTCTGAGTTTCCCTAGCTTTCAGTATTTTTTTTCTTATAAGAACATGATTGTACCATAGGAAGTATTAGCCATTAAATTGAAGGGCTTCTCATTAGTTTTAACAATCTGAAATTGAGTGGATTATTGAACAATTTTTTTTTTACCAATACATTTCATGACTTTATAGACTGTCATGTTCTTTTAAATCTTAGTTTTTCAAATGGAAGTGTTCTAATTTTTGTAGTGTATCTGTAGATAATAAGTAAGCTTAGTTATTTTCATACCAAATATACTCTTATTAAGACATTTTAAACCCTTTTTAATGGCACCACAAATGGCATGTGTGTAGCTGGACATTTGGCTAATGCAGTAACCATATCAGATATGGTTACTATTAAATGAACACTCAGTAGCAGAAAATGTGTTCAGTGATGTATTGTGACCTCATTTATTGTCCCCACCTTCTCTAAATATTAAATTGAGGACTTTTCAGATGAGAGAGAAATATCAATCAGTTGCCTCCTGCACACTCCCTACTGGATATGTGCCCACAACCAAGGTACATGCCCTCGACTGGAATTGAACCTGGGACCCTTGAGCCCACAGGCTGATGCTGTATCCACTGAGCCAGTGGTTAGGGCTGACAGGGATTTCTTGAAGTCCAGCTGCCTCCCAAGTCAATATCTTTAAGCAATAGACTGTATTTCCCAAGTAATAACTGGTTTCATAAATGTTTATTTTTCCTATAATTTTTATTGTGTTATGACCTTTCATACCTTTACTGAAGAATAATATCTACTTAGTTTTGTTTAAATATTATTTATCATAGAATTACCTTGTAATATAAGCATAGGATAGACTATTCTTTAAAAACAAAAATAATCTGAAGAGAGATCAAATATCGTTAGGCATTTTAAGTACATCATGACTTTCTGTGAGAATTTCCTTAACTTCCTCCTTTTGTATTTCATACGTGGTTTCTGTCAGTTCTTCGAGAAGACTTTAAAGGTGGAAAAATTGACCTACAAAAAACTCAGAAATTACTTGAAAAATTTAATGTTCAATATAGTAGTATTCATGTGAAGTATATTTTTAAGGTGAGATGCTATCTGCCCTGCCTACCCTATTCTGGAAAAGACTTAACCCCAATATAGCAAAATGTCAATAGCTACTTGGATGCTTTCTGCAGAAAATACAGATGAAAAATTAGTTTCTTAAGAATTAAAACAATTAATTATGCTAAATACACTTAAAAGCAAGATAGAATCTAGGTAGGATGTAAAACCAGATGTTGACAAAATTTGAAATAATACCAAGTTATCCGTTTAGAAGAATCTACTAAAAATATGGAATGTCAACCTTAGATTAGGATCAGTTATGTGATTAGATGAAATCATATACATGATGAAACAATTTATGAATTGTATGTCCGTGATTTATAGAAAAGTGGGTAATCTTGAAAATAATTTATATTTACTCACCTCAAAGTAAAAAATCACAACCAAAGTTCTCCGCTTAAGGAAGATCTGGTAGAAGGGGAATGTGTCTCAGCCCTCTTCCCACTGGAGAGCAGAGGGAAGATTATGAATAAAATGAGAAGTCAAGTGTTTAGCCAAGTTTTGCAAATATTGCAAATGACACATTTCTTGGTGAATCAGGAAAGACAACTAGCCTGGCCAATCCAGATAGTTAGGAGGTTAGATATCCTCATTTTTATTTATTTATTTTTTTTTGGACACGAGTAGCCAGAAACACAACCCATGCTGAAATTGCTGCCACTAGCATGAACTAGAAAGCTTATGTTCCCTTACTTGCAAGCTAACCAGCCAGTCTGGGGTAGTTTCACAGGTGCTGGCAGAGGCAGGCTTCCTCTTCAGAGAAACAAGACAGCTCGTTAATCACAAAAATAGCAATTGCCAGAATATCAGCAATTTGATGCCTTTTTTCTAAGCCCCAGTTCCCAAAGCGTGATGATATGAGGAAGGCCAGGTGACATGTACAATACATGCAATGGGCTGCATTACTAAAGAGCAACCTCAAGCTTGAGGAACCCACATCTTTTATAATAGGCGGTATGCCAGTCTGACCTTTTTGCTCAGGAGGGTGTCATTAGCATTTTCACTGCAGACAGTAAGCAAACCTGTTTATTTCTCAGAGGGATGTACTATATCTTCATTATGCAAACATTCTTGAAAAACTAGTACTGAAGAAAGAATATTGGTGCCTCTGCTCCGAAAATGTGCAGAGGCACAAGACCTATGGAGAATTGCCTCCCCCCAAACACTTCTTCCTATAAGATATAGCCCCCGTATTTAGAAACCAAAAAGAGGAGGTTCAAGCAGAAAAGCTGTAGTACTCAGGAGACGGCAGGAAAGACAAATGCTTCAGAGTTGTTTCAATGAATCTATGTGGCATGTGCTGCAATAAGTTATCCGAATTTTAATCAGTTAGTGCCTAATACTACATCTGAAAAACACAAGTTTCTGTGAAAGACCTTTACACACAGAAATTTTTCACAGTGTTATTGTCCAAGGGGAGAAACAGCTATATCCTTTCACATTCAACATAATATAGAAGTGCCAATTAAATCTCTGCCAAATGTGAAAATACTGCTTTATCGAGTGATTTATCAGGTTGCTTTGAATTTTCTTTGAGATTGAGATATCTGTTTAAAATGCACATGAGTGAAATGCATGCTATATTCAAAAGCATTATGTAGAAAGCTCAACATTTATAAAAAAGTAAAGAAATAGCTCATTAGTTGAAATTTGTGATTATTCAGATATGACAATTTTGGTCTATTTTGTTTAGCAAAATCTTTTTGGAGTGGCTATAAAAACAATGTTAATTATAAAAATTAGAGAGGTAGAGATTGCCTAACTTACTTCAAAAACCTCTTTAAACTGACCCCAAGTACTTTAGAAGCATAAATTACATATAATTGAGGTTAATGGCCATGACAAACTATTTTTAATTCACATAGACTCTCTAATAAATAATATTTGTTGCCTTAAGCTAAACGGCCATATATTTATTAAAATGTTGATTAAATAGAATTCTTGAAGGAAGATGTATTGGCTAATTGAATTTTCTGGATAGCTGAAGATTTAGTTTCTTAAATATCCCATCTTCTGCTTCAACTTTTGCTGCTAATCTTTCCTCACTTTACGAGTACACCTTTTAGCCACAGTACATAAAATGAATCATAATAAACCTTATTTTGGTGACCCCAAATCTTCCAGTGTCTCAAGGCTACTGTTATTAGCAACCTCAGTAGGCCTGGAGATTCTTCACTCTATTAGATACGAGCTGTGTGTTACTTGCAAGGCAAGTCAGCAGTCTCTCTGAGCGAAAGCCTTAATCTGCAGAGTGAGGATACTAATACAGTTATCCTGCAGGGTTGTTCTGAATGTCAAGTAAGGTGTCATTTGTAACGTACCTAGCACCAGGCTTGGCAAAATGTAGGCACTCAGTAAATTAGTTGAAGGTATGCCCATTATGATTTAAAAAAATATATTGAAAGTTGTGTTACATTTATTGATTTCCTAAGAAGCTGACATCAATTCTGACATGAATTTATTTCCTCACAATGTAAATGTCCATTATAAAATTTAGTAAAAAAATATACAGTGGTGGGCAAAAGTAGGTTAAGTTGTCAGCCAGCATTACCTAAAAGATAAATTGTAGATAATGAAATAATAATGATAATAATAAGGTAGATAATACAGTAATAAATAAATAATACAAGAATAAGCTCAGTTTTGTGTATGCACAACTGTAAACTTAATTTTGTCAACCCTTTATAATACTATGAACATAGCAAAATTTTCTAAACTTTAAAAAAAAAATTATTGAATCATTGTTTGAGCAGCAATTCCCTAATTAAAAAAATACCTTTATTAAATTTTGTTGTTGTTAATTCAACCTCACCTGTGGATATTTTTCCTTTATTTATTTATTTATTTATTTATTTTTTGTAGAGAGGGTAGAAGGGAAGGGGGAGCAGAGGAGGCAGAGGCCAGGACAGAAATATCGATATGAGAGAAACACATCGATTGGTTGCCTCCTGCAGGAGCTCTAACCAGGGCTGGGATCAAGCCTGCAGCTGAGCTATGTACCCTCGACCAGAATCAAACTTGGGACCTTTCAGTCCACGGGCTGATGCTCTATCCACTGAGCCAAACTGGATAGATAGGTCTTCTTTGCCTTTATCATTAACTTGTAGCATGTAAAATATTTTATAGGAAATCTGTATAATTTCAATACACATAACCAATCTTATATTATACTCTATTAATTTCAAAATTTCATATTATTATAGGACTTACCTTAAGTCTTCAAATTCTCTAAACAGTTATCAACCATTATTAAATCATATTATGTACATGGCACTAAGTTAGAAAGTTAGAAACTATAAAACATGAATAAAGTGTTGTCTCTTTCATGAGGGAGAAAAGAAAGGCAGAAATTATTATTTTATAAGTATTGTAGATTATAGTAAATATCATAGGTAATACTAACAGGGCATCTGAGAAGACAGAGATTCAGACTTGGGCTTTTGTGAAAGATGCCATAGTGGAGGTGGCCTTCTTTCGGACTTTGAAGAATGAGAGGCAGCATGTATAGAGCAGAGTACAAAAAGTACTTGGGGGATGAAAGGTGATCAAACATGATCTGAGTATAAGATGCATGAAGGAGAGTGATGAGAAATAGCTACAAATGCCAGTCTGGCCAGATAAGAAATCCTGAATAGTAGGCCTGGGAACTTGGATTTACTCTTGTAGGAAATAGATAGCCATTAACGTTTCTAAGTAGAGACATAGTGTGTACTTTAGGATACATATGGCAGTACTGTAGAATGGATTAGAGTTTAGGTTCTACAGCAGCAGTTCTCAACCTGTGGGTTGAAAACCGCTAGCAGGTTCGTCCAAGAGCATTGGAAAACCCAGATATTTACATTACGATTCATAACAGTAGCAAAATTACAGTTATGAAGTAGCAACAAAAATAATTTTATGGTTGGGGGTCACCACAACATGAGGAACTGTATTAAAGGGTCGCGGCACCAGACAGGTTGAGAACTGCTGGATTAGACGATAGAAGGCAGAGAGACAAGGTAGAGAATTCCCTGTTGCTTTGGCCCTACAAATCTGCAACTTGGGTTGATTCAGCCACTTATATTTTTGTTTGATTCTACTTAAAGTTTATGAGTTCCTACCACAGTCCAATTAAGCTTATTTTTAATCTTATCTGAAAAATATGTAGCACCAAATCCTTTGTTGAACATTACATTCTCTCTTTTAGTAGATAAGTTGAAATAATACTGTATATTTCTTTCTCCACTTCTTCCATCATCTACTGCAATAAAATTTGTTTTCACACCAATTTTGGAAACATATTTACTTCCAAAATTCTATTTTCAATGGTGAAGCTTCTATGTGCATTTTATTATTCTTAAAATTCTCTCTATTCTGATTTCTGTGACATCATTGTCATCTAGTTTTAGCTTAAAATTTTTGATCATTCATTCTCACCTGTCCTTATGCTCTCTTCTTAAAATTCAGTTCTTAAATTTTTTTCTTTTTACTTTACAACCCTTCCTGAGGAGTCTTACTGATTTTCTTACCCTCCCCTCTAATTTTATTGAGATATAATTGGCATATAATATTGTATTAGTTTTAGGTGTACAACATGATTTGATATTGTATATATTGTGAAATGATCACCACAATAAGTTTAGTAAATATCCATCACCTCATATAGTTACAATTTTTCTTTTCTTGTGATAAGAACTTTTAAGATTATTCTCTTAGCTACTTCTAAATATATGATACAATATTGAGTTGAGTCACCAGCCTACACATTACATCCACATAACTTATTTATCTCATAAATGGAAGTTCATACTTTTTAACCACCTTCATTGTCCTCTCTTATCTCCGGCAACCATCAATCTGTTCTCTGTATCTGAGTTCAATTTTTTTTTTAGATCCACATAAAAGGACATTATACAGCATTTGATTTTTTCTCTTTCTGACCTATTTCACATTAGATGATGCTCTCAAGGTCCATCCATAATGTCACAAATTACATAATC